CTGGAAAAATGAGGTCAAAGTTCAACACTGCCAAAAACTAAAGGAATATTTGTTTCGAGTTTCTTTTATGCGCTGCCTGCGATCTCAATATAAAGGTGTACACAAGGGTAGACATTTTTTTTAAGTTCGATGATTAGATTAGGTTGAACTTTATTGATCCCACACTGGGGGGAAAATATATTCATGTCACACAGGCACCATTTAACTAAGCAGACTATTGACAGCATGAAAGAATAATAACTGTATAATTACAGGCCCAACCACAACCAACTGTAACGCCAAGTACTATCACGAGTTATTACAAAATCAATATATTGAGCTAAGAGATAATAAATAATCCCCTGTTGAACTGACATCTCTGTCACCATGTAGTGACAGCTGTCAATCAATTAACTGACAGTTCATCACAGTATCAAGTTAACTTTACTACAGAGAGATCTACTTTGCTTTTTTTTTTTTTAATCAAATGTCCTAAAATACCCCTGAGTGTTAGCAACCGTACAAAGGTTAAAGAGGTCATAAATAAGTAGGGCTTAGATAAGTAAGCAGCTCATAACCTCCAGGGAAACAAGTAAAAAACCCATTATTGTGACACACAAGACTGGGAATAAAAATGATTCTGTGGCAAAGGTAAAATGTTGTAAATGGCAAAGGTTGAACGGCCTGTCCCGTGTTTTCAGATATGCTTGAATTTTAGCTGAAAAGTTCATCTTTTCGACACAGCCTTCTGACATAACAACACTGGTAACAGATGGAGTCTGAATCCGACTGTGTCCAAACACCACGTCCAGCCTGGACACACTAGTCTTTAACACTGCCCAAGGAGACAGGAGATCAGATGCGGGGTCTGAACGAGGAGCACATGGTTTTGATTCCGCCTTTTGGCTTCAGAAACTCTTTGTTTCCATGACAACCACACACTGAATGTATGTGCGCGTGAGTCAATTTGCAGAAGGGGCAGATTCATAACAGAGCGGCGGCTGAAAAGAACTAAACGGAGGAGTTTGTGAGGAAGGTGATGAAGGAGGATGAGACGAAGAGGAAGCAGCAGACTGGCCAAGCTGTCACACCTTTACACATCAGACCGCACGGAGAAGCAAAACAGATGGTGCCGTCTGCTGTGGGAAACGTCAGGGCGGTGCAATCTGCCAACATCTAACGTTAAATGGACCCTGAAAATCCTAACATCCACTATCCAGACTGAAGAGAAGTCGTTCATCCATCATCCCCCAACAACACTTCTTCTATCACTTCATCATTTTAAGAGTCGATCTGGAGTCGGGCCCAGCTGACATCGTGTGACGGAGAGGCTACAGCCCAGACAGGTCGCCTACAGTTTCATTTCTGTTTCTGTCATTCTTCTGGATGCAGTGTGTGTTCTTTTCCCTTTATGTGGTTTGCAGATGACACACTGTTTTTTTTACGTTCCAAGAGTAAAGATAGTTTAATATTGGATAGCAAAGGTCCACTCGGAGGAACTGTTAGGTACTGACAGACGCTCAACAGTGAACTACAATTTGCACGAAACCAGTAAAAAACAGACAGGTCAGTAATACAATCTTTTTGACCGTTTCGTTTCAGCGAACTAATTCCATAAACATTCAGTATTTCTGGGTATTTTTATCTCATCTTATTGTCAAACTCCTTGAGTAAGTAGAAAAGCATTTTCGTTAATCCTCGCCAACGTTCAGCTCCTAAATCAAAAAGTCTCCCGATAAAGGTTGTTTAGGACTAACGGCAGTTTAAACAACCAGGGTTCAGCTGAGGGCAAATGTTTATCCATTAAAATAATAAACATTTTCAGCTTTGATGTTCCACAATAAACAAACTTGTGCGGAATATGATGCTTTCAAAAAATGCTTCTCACAGCTTTTTCTAATAAAAACAGTCAAAGTTGTCCATCAGGTTTGGTAACCAACTGACACAGGTCAACTCTACAGGTAGGGGCAGTGTGGATCAGTACACAATGACACCACTAGGGTACTGGCAGGAGAATTGTTCTACTGAATTATTGTGCTACACTGACATCATCTGATGTGTTGCCAACAAACGGAAGGTTTTCCTGACGATCTGGCTGGTTTTTATAAACACGTCAACACAGTCATGGCCACTGACAGTCGGCAGTCCTGCTCACACATTCATACTTTTAATCACTTCCAGAGTTTGTATTTGGCGATGGATGAGCCACACGTCAAGAGCTGTCACTGACGACAAAATAATGTGATCACCCAGGAAATGACTCCATCCCAAAGGTCAACTTTTTCTTTGAGCGAGTACAAATATGTACTCAAGCCCCCGGAGCAGCAGTGGTTGATGTCAGCAGAGAGGAATCTGCCTTTCATTAAAAGGAGCGGCAGATTCATTGACAAAACCAAGAGGACAGCATCCGTCTTGATCTGTGGTAACGCACCAGGACACAGCCACCCAGAATAATTCACCACATAAATCAACAGACAATGCTGACAAATGCTCCTCTACTGCTGCTGGAATGCAGCTCACAAAAACCTCCACTCTTTTCAGTCAGAAAACTCTGCCATGGAATTCTGGGGAAGTGGGAAGTTAATTATTGGATTTATCCAGTGTAAGTGCATAACTTCCTGTTGTGTTTTTCTCAGTTTCTTAGACGAGGCAGCAAGAAAACAAGTACAAATTGTCTGTTGGATCGTAAACAGTTTCACCAAAGTGGCATCTTGTAATTTTGGGGGGAATTTCTACGCCAGATGTTCCAGCACCAAACTTCAGTAACGGATCACAGCTTTTCTTTGTAACCAACCAGATCTGTTACACCTGTTGTTGCAAAAATAAAACAGAGCTGAGTTTATTACTCAAATGAATATAACGTCTAAATTTAACACACTATGCCATACATTAGGTTTGTTGAAGCAGACAAAGAAACAACCATTCAACAAACACAAGGATTATTAACCTGGTTCAGTGATTGGACGTCAACAAACACAATTATTAACCAGATTATTAACCTGGTTCAGTGATTGGACACTTTTGTCATCTTTAGATCCACAGCTTGAACTTCCTTCTGGATAACAGACCCAGCGATGAAGAAACTGATCAAATTAATTGCGATTAATCATGACTGATTACATTAAACTGATCCCTAAATACGAGGGAATGTTTAAAAAATTATTGTGATTTTGAAGAGGGAAAAAAGTTGATCACACATAAAGTCGCAGTACTTAGGTGCAGTAAGTATAGGAAATATTACTGAGGGGACATTTAAACGCAGGTAAAAATCCAACAATGCAAACAGGAAGTCATGCCCTGTCAAGAATGTGTCCCTTTTTTTTTTTTTCCTTCTGGGGACAGGATCCACTAGAAAAGAAACGTCAGGGCTGAGGTGTTTGAGAGGCACAGAACGGGGCACGGTACCCTGCCTTCACTTCACAATTCACTCCACATGAAGATGATCCAGGACCAGGACCAGGACCAGGACCAGGACCAGCTTCCCACACCTCAGCACATTTGCACACATTAGAGATGCTTCACTCTGTTTGCCTGTGGGTTGTCTTTCACAGAGAGGAAGCCTTTCTTCAACTTCCATCTCGCATTCCACACATTAGACGTTCAGTCTCCTGGACATTTAGTGGAACCTTTCTCAACAGCCATGGGTAAAATCAGTGTTCACTGCTCAACATGTTTGACAAATGGCAGACATGAGAGTTTATGATAACACTAACCTGAAAGAAGCACAAGGTCCAGCAAAATGTGCAGAATGAGACAGATATGGCAACCCAAATCCTGCAACTTTAAGATCTGATACTGGGAAAATATGTTATGCCCATTTAAAAAAAGTCACTTACAGTTAGTTGAACTTGGTTAAGCATCATCAAGAATCAATGAATGGAGGAAAAACAATGCTTTTCAGCTTGCCAACATACAGTCCCGGTGAGTTATTTTGTGCCAACAGAAAAGGACCACAATTTTTCCCAGCCCGGAGTTAATTCCATCTTGTCAACTTCCACTTTTTAATGTTGGTCACTCACGATTTTTCCTAGCACGAAGTTAACTCCATTTTATCAACTTCCACTTTTTAATGTTGGTCACAAGAATAAATATTATCCAATAATTTATATATACTGTACATTAACAAATATCACTGATAAATACAACTTACACTTACGTCGTTCATAATACTCAACACAGGTAAGTTCACATCTGCTCAAGGCTTGGAATGAAACCGTAGCCTGGTATGTGGACACTCCAATATATATATACATATATAGTCTATAATATGTATCTTTAACTCCAGCAGAGTTAAAGTTGTTACAAAAGCTTTCATGTTAACAAATCGACGCCTACTTGAAGTTGATCACCGAAAATGAATGTCTGTGTCTGTGCAGGAGGAAAATCTTACATATTTATCTCCACAGATGCTCCAACAAATTCCAATAAAAGGTGGGGTAAAAGGTCAGTTTCCAACAAAAAGCTGGATTTCAGGAAATCCTTAACGATCTTTTTTTTTTTTACCATTAGTTTAATACACTTTCAAAGAAAAACTTAGATGAATAATACCCTCAGGGGTGTTAATTCTGAGTAATCTCGATGTCATTCCTTTGTCATCCAGACTAACACGTTAGTAGTTTAGTTTTTGCAAGACTAAAACAACGTAGTTTATTTTCTCAAATGTCATGTAAACTACTCAAGCGACAGGTTAGTGCAGGTTTATTCATAATCCTCTAAAAACAAAGACAAGTTAAACATTTCTTAAAGTGAACGAGTGAAGGGGAAGGACCCTGGTGTGTAAACTTCACCAGGCAACAATGCGTCTGACACACAACAGACACCACACTAGCCAAATGCATACTTATCAACAATGCAACATTAAATCGTTTTATAGAAATAAGAAAATACGTGAAATGCATCTTGCATTTGCAGGAAAAGAAAAGGGAAACATTATGATTTCCATGGTGTCATTTGACACCAGTTTGTCTCAGAGCACAGGCTCTGTCTAACTCTGACTGGAACAACAAACGTAGAGAACGTACCGTGAACGCAGCACCGGCAAATACTGCACTTTCCTGTCCACAAACGCCCGGTTTTATTCCGATAAAACAACCGCTTTACTCCCACAAAAGCTCCTGCAGCTTGCTCTGCTTTTTCCGTTGGGTTTTCCCTCTGCCCTGGATGAAGAAGGAGAGCGACGTCCTCGCCGAGGAGAGAAAAGAGGCGGGGCTTCGATCTCCGGGGAAGAACCGAGCGATCAATCAGTGGCGGAGGTGACAATGAGCGACAGATATAAACCAATTAGATTCAGTTGCTACAACACAGCTAAGCGCTGATTGGTTTAAGTGAGCAAAGACCTCTCACTTTAATTTACAAGCATAAAAATGAAAGGAAATGATACAATTAATTCTTCCATCTGCCATGCTTTGTTATTACTATTATTATTATTTTTTAAAATTTCTCCACCTTTTTCTTAGTTTACCTCACATGTAAATTGCGTTACACTTACATTTAATTATTAAGTCTGATTTGACAGAACATCAAAATAGTTTTTATTGTTCTTAAATGTGTTCATTCATTTGGAGGTATTTTTTGTGATATCAAAAAATGTTCGTTTTTATCGAGCGAGGGCGTAGTGGTAGGATGTGGGCGTGGTAATGTTCGATCACTTGAATATGAACTGGTCCAAATACGTAATGTGAAATACCTTCAGTTCATTTTTGCCTAAAGACTCCCTTATGTTCACCTTTATTGTTTTAACATGCCTAAATGCCTTTTGCCTTATGTTCACCTTTATTGTTTTAACAGCATACATCATTCTTTTCACTTTAAAAGAACCCTAAAAATGTTATACTATAAGTTAAATTTACTATTTTAAACATGATCATACAAGATCAGTATACTTTCTGTTCTAACCCAGATCTTTTGGTACTGAGAATCAACCTTTTTGTGTTTGTCCAACGTTTTAATTCTATTTACAAGTATTGAAATATTGACTATACTGTAGTTGGAAATCCTTAAAGTGACGTTGGCGCCTCCTGCTGGCAAATAAGGAGTGTTGTCAACACGCATTGATCATTGAATACTGTCTCTCTTGATCTAAATCGTGTTGTGTTATGTTAATATTGATGCATTCATTATTGTATGTTTTTAATCTACTGAAACAAAATATAAAATAATCAGGTCCCATCACATTTTAAATATGGTGTGGGGTATTATATAACATGAGGTATGCTATCATTAAAATATTATTTTTAAAACATCGTTTTGGCGCGTTTTTACTTTAAATGAACATTTATAATTTATAAAGTATAAAAATTTTGCAGTAACTGGTCACTACGGACATTTTAGACAACTCTAGTCAAACAGCTGAAGTTGTTATGGAATATTGGACTTCAATCGACTTTCCGGTAAAATATCTTCTTGTTTTTGTCATTCGCTTCAGCTGTGTTAAGTTGCATTATCTCTGATTGGAATTGGGAGAGTGCTTCTTTCAAATTAAAGTAATGCAATACTACCGCGGTTTTTATGAAGTTCGACAATGAAGATAATTTAAAGGAAATCCTCCTCCATGGGTTTTCATTTTTGTTTATTGTTACCCATTTGTTAATTTGTTGCAAACATGTTGTTGTTTGAGTGTATATTATATCCATAGCAAGGTCGTATTCGTGTTTTTGGAGTGGTTTATAAACATTAAATTTACTACATGTAGATTTTTCATTTTATTTTGAAAGAACTCAGTTGGCTCTTTTACGTGTCGTCTGTCGGGTTTAGTTAACTTGATAACCGTTCCCTGTTCCACCTCCAGTGAAAACACAGGTGATTGCTTTACCTACTCAATTTTTTATACTTCTTTCACAGAAATAGTAATAAGCGCTGATTTTATAGAACCTCGGTTAAATGTTTGAGCTGCTGCTGTCAAACCGAACGTGTCTCTGCGTTTGCTTTCGTTACACGAATTTGACGAAGTAAACTTCACTTCTGGTGTAGCTTAGCTTAGCTGTTAGCACAGGATTAGCGTGGCTAGCTGGAGCGGTCTAATGTCAGATCGTACCTCTTATTTACACATTCACAGTTCTAAAACCACGTGACCAGTTTCACTGACAATTCTATATTACTGTCAGTGCTGACGCTTAGTATTTTATGTGAATAAATGTCAAGGTCCTGCGCTTTGAGCTAAATCGCTAAACTAACATGATCTGACAGAAGCTCATACTATTCTCATGTGTTATACACATGGTTAGAACTTACCGGTAAAACCACGTCGTTGATGGCATTTTTAACAAATATTTATAAAAGTGCCATGTCGCATGTACAATTCGGCTGCGGTGTTGAAGTTATGTAGTACTCTCGCGACTGTTGTTTCAGACACTTGGTGAAGTTCGCTGTCCTTGGCTAATGTTAGCATTACATGAGAACAGCAAGGTAACGTGCTGTAATACGGAACATTTGTAGACAACTAATTAGACATTTCCAGATACATTATAGGGAATTTGCTTCTAAAGCGTCACAGTGAACAGGAAGAAAGGAAAAAAACAAAACAAACAAAAAAAACATGTAACGTATTTCGTCGTTCAGTGTCACGTTTGTTACAGGAAGCCAGAGCAAAGTTAGCCCTGGTGTACACTGCACATGCCACACGTTTCATACGGCGCTCAGTATAATGCATACACACTGATACAATTTGACAGCGTCCTGTTACAGTCATAGTAACGTTAGACATACGGATGTATTTCAGTGACGAATGTCCGTCCATTAATTAGACTTTGTTCGTGCACCGATAGCACTGGCTGGCCCCCGTGGCAAAACACGACAATTACTGGGTCAGCAGTGGTATTTACAACAGGTCTTTGTACTGTAGCCCAGCTCAGCTTTTCTAAACCTGATGAAATCCTTTTGGAACAGCATTGATGGTCGGCTTAGGCTATGTTGTTGCAGTATAAAAGTGAAGCGGTGGCACCACATGGACCAAAGCTGACAGGTCGATGTGTTCTCATCGTCACTTGGATACATTAGATGCTCACGGTGTGACACAGTATTTTTGAATGAGAGTTTCCGTCTGTACATACACGGTTGACTGCATGTTCACGCTGCTGGTGCAGCTCTTCACACACGTGGTTGTTGCTGCTTCGCTCTGTGGCTTCGGGATGCAAATCGGAGTTCAGCTGCTGCTGCAGCCTTTTATTTTTGAAGAGCACAGTTAGATAACAGTTGAATCCCCACTTACCATCGGCAGCTTGGTGTCAGAACCTGGGATGGAGTCAACGGAGGTTTGTGAGATCGATGTGGCGACCAGAAGAATAGTTGGAGGCAGTGACTCTCCACCAGACCTGGACAGCCCATGTCAGGTAAACATATAGTCATTCGGTTTTAATCTCAATAAAGTCATCTCAGGAGAACAGTATACAGCTGCCAGAAGAGTAAAACAGTATTCCCATTGCCAGTGTCTTTTTTCTTTTACCCTTAAATTAGTACTTTAGTGATGGATGCACTGCTGCAGAGTTAAAGGCCAGAGAACTAAAAACAGCACTGACAATGTCAAAGAGGATACAGTTTTGTGCAGTTAACTGGTGCTCTCTATAAATAGATTGCAGGTGCAACTTGAACAAAGACAGATACTGGGGCTGTTAGTCACCAGGTTTATTGGAGAGCACGTGGACCATAATTAACATGTCAGATCTGGTTTTAAAGAACTGCTCAAGTCGCAATAAGTGATTTGAGCAAGTTCTACCTTTTGGAATTTTGTAGTCAATGTTTTGCCCCTTTTTCTACAGATCTGTTAAACATAATTTTTTAAATTTCAAATGTAATGACATTCTATCAGATTTTAAATAGATCCAGGTCATTCAAGGACTGTTGACGATAAACTTTTTACCACATTTTGCTCTCTCAGGAGGAGGTTGCTGCATTTGATTTGGGATTGTGTTGTGCTGTGGAGGAGAGGGGAGAGACCCCAGGAAGAGAAGACAGCCCCAGTGAACTGGGAGATGCAGAGTTGGATCTTGGTGTCGATGCCAAGACAGGAGACGACAAAACCTTTGGTATAAACTCCTACAGGAAAAAGAGAAAGTCTCTTCTTTAAACAAATATGATGACAGACTTAATATTGAAAACAATTCTCTGTTCCAGGGAAGGAGGTGGTTCTGCTGATGCAGGCCCTTAACTCTTTGGCTACCCCCGAAGAGAAACTGGCTGCTCTGTGCAAAAAGTATGCAGATCTGGTGAGTCAAATGTGGATTTTGGTTATAGCAATTTAAATTACATTTACTGCCTTTCTTTAACCTGGATGTTTCTGCTCATCACGTGTCTGTGTACTTGTTCAGCTGGAGGAGAGCCGCTGCATGCAGAAGCGTCTGAAAGCCCTGCAGAAGAAGCAGTCTCAGATTGTGAAGGAGAAGGTTCATCTGCAAGGAGAACACAGCAAGGCCATCCTGGCCCGCAGCAAGTTAGAGAGTCTCTGTAGGGAGCTGCAGAGGCACAACAAATCACTGAAGGTTGGACCTCAGTCCACATATAACCCTCTCCTATCTGTGTCACCTTCAACATCTGTCCCTGTTGTACAAAGTTACCTCCAGGACAAAACATATTTCACATCCTTCTGCTGTTCACCTTTTTCGTTTTTTTTTTCTTCTACAACTCCTGCCGTCTGACAGGACGAGAACGCTCAGCGCTCCAGAGAGTTCGAGGAGCAGCGGAAGGAGGCAATGATGCACTTCCAGATGACCTTGAGCGACATCGAGGTGCAGATGGAGCAGCACAGCTCCCACAACACTAAGCTGAGGCAGGAGAACATGGAGCTGGCCGAGAAGCTGAAGAAGCTGATTGAGCAGTATGAGCTGAGGGAGGAGGTGAGACCATGTTCACCCACAAACCTGTGTAGTCTTTTGATTTTCTTTGTTTCTTCTAAATATATTTAAAAACTATTTGGGTTTAAAAAAGGATTCCCAAAGCAGAACAAACAGAGACGCTGTGTTCTTGTCAACGTGACAGTGTAGGCAGCAGTGAACAGGCCCCGACAGGCCACTGTGTCAACGCTGCCAAGTTACTGTCTTACAGTTTTTTGAAAACAAGACATTTCTACAAAAACATTCAACATTAGCTCGTTTAATTTAAAACTTCACAGCAGTGTCCCTGCTGTGACAGAGATGGTTGGGTGTCAGGGTTACAGGTGTGACAGTTCTCTCCCCACTCCTCCTCTCTTTCAGCACATAGACAAAGTGTTCAAACACAAGGAGCTGCAGCAGCAGCTGATGGACGCCAAGCTGCAGAGAATCACCGAGATGATGAGAGAAGTGGAGGACAAGCAGCAGAGAGAGCGGGACTTTGTGAGTACATCAGCAACTTACTTCATCTTCACCGTTCACCGCGCGGAGAGTTTGTGTTAAATTTGGGAGAACGCCTCGACTGACTGCTGTGTTTCTGCTGATGCTTCAGCTGCTGAAAGACGCCACGGACTCCAGACAGAAGTGTGAACTGATGAAGGAGCAGGAAACGCAGCTCAAACAGCAGGTACACACATGCACATTGTTGATGCATTCCCTCGTCCCCCACCTATTACAAATATATGTCTCATCCTGCAAAATGTCCCCTCAAATCCACCATTTGGAACCGAACTGAAAAAACTCCAATGACTTTATCTGTAGTGAATCGCAGGCATTACCTTGAACTATAAATATAACACATAGGATGATGGTGGTGATGATGATGATAATAATAACGCGTGCCTCCTCATTCAGCTCTCCCTGTACATGGACAAGTTTGAGGAGTTCCAGAGCACTCTGGCAAAAAGTAATGAAGTCTTCACCACTTTTAGACAAGAGATGGAAAAGGTAAGAGAGCTGCCACTCACTGACTGATTTGCTGGTAAACGCTGCACATGCTTGTGTTGATATTAATCGTAAATGCTGCACATGCTTGTGTTGATATTAATCCCACTGATTTACGTGCAGATGACCAAAAAGATCAAAAAACTCGAGAAGGAAACGACTCAGTGGAAGACCAAGTGGGAGAGCAACAACCAGGCTCTGCTGCAGATGGCCGAGGAGGTGAAGTTCACTCTGCTGACGTTTGTATTGTTAATAGTCAAAAGCAGCCTGAATCTCAGCCAGTCTCTGAGGAGAACACTGAGTCGAGTAGTTCTCTCTACAAAAAGAGAGGTGGCGCTGCAGATAATGTTTGGGCACCACTGGGTTAAATGCACTTGTTTGTTCTGCGTGGTTCTCCTTCAGCGTTCAGAAGAATCTCTGACATTTATGAACCACTGCTGTGTTGCAGAAAACACTGCGCGACGGCCACTTCAAGGCCCTGCAGGGGAAGCTGGAGCTGCTGGAGAGGCTGTGCCGGGCTCTGCAGAAGGAGAGGAACGACCTCAACAACCGCCTCAGCCTCCTACAGGAGCAAGAAGACAAGGAGACGCCAGGTGCAGCAGACACTCCTGCAGCCCCGCAGCAGGAGCTGTCAGTGGAGGAGCAGCAGGAGCAGCAGCAGCAGCAGGGGGTGGAGGCGGGAGGAGTGGCAGAGGAGAACCCAACACAGAGTGACAGACAGGAGACGGAGAGCGTCCACCAGGCTCCCCGACCTCCAGAAGGCGACTCTTCAACGACGGCCACAGACAACACCACTACCGCTAAGACGACAACAGCCAGTCAGCCTGAAGAAACACCAACCGCACCGCAGGACTGAGCCGCCTACGCCGTGTTTGTGGGTGTGTGTGTGTAGGTGAGATGGACACACCTCCAGCCTAGTTCCACAACTGGTGAGACGGACCGTCTTCAGTGGAGGTATTATACAGTAGATTTCCTCTTTTCTCTCTTTTCTAAGCCTCCACCGGCCACAGAGTCCAGAACCTCTGTATAATCCGAAAAACAAGAATGAGAACTGTCAGCTCCTAAAAAGTTACCCCCGCTCACCCCCCGTTTGCATCGGTTCTTAGAATCAGCTTTGTTGTGAATGAACGCTTTCTACTCCATTTCTACTATACCTATATTTTCATAAGAAACTTCAGTCTAAGTAAACGCAATTTGCAATCATCAGTGACTCCATCATGTCATCAGGTCTGACCGGGAGTTTTACATGAATGTTGATGTTGCCTTGATGTGACCTCATCTTTGAGGCAGCCCTGTTGAATTCTTCAGTTTAGGAAACACATTGAACTTAAAGTCTGGTAACTTACTGATAATGTGTTCTGTCATAGATTATAAGTTAAATGTCGATATAACTGAAACCAATACCACAATGTATGTGATACTTGTGATTAAGATTACGTTTATTTTTTTCTTATTTTTTTTCCTATTTGTACCAAACTGATTAAGAAGAAATGTTCGGCCCATTTTCACTGACGACATTAATGTATCTCGAGCCTCCTGTATCATAGGTGACTTTCAAGCTCAGATCGGCTAAGAGAAGCTGACTCGCCTTAATCCGCCGTCTCATAATATGATTTAACTCGCGTCACGTTAACATGAGATTAATGGACCTTTTTAATAGGACCTGTCAGAGGAGCCACTGCTGCTGTGGTTCATCATGAATGTAGGCAGTAGATCAGTGGGAGGGTGAGAGGCTGCAGGGCTGTTGACAGACTGGTACAGACACGAGTTCCTGGTGATTTGTAGAAGAACTGGAACTGGGGTCAAAAACTAATGCTGTCACACTTCATCTGATTCAGATGTAGGTTAAAAACTCAAGGGGTAAAAATCATGTTTCAATATAACTTGTCAGAGGTAGTTTCTTTCTGCTCCTGCAGAGGGAGCTCTAAAATTTAAGACTAGGAGATTTTGCTGTTAGAAGGCAAGAAAAAAGAACTAATCATGATTATTCGATCCCCAAAAAATATGAAAACCAAACTGATTTTTTTTTTGCCAGACAAATATATATACACCTGTTTTTATTTGTGACTGATCGAAATGATGCAAAAATGCATACAGAAAAATATAGAATATGAAAAACAATATTCAAAATTATAACTTGCTGCCATTGTCCTCTACAATACCACGTTCGTTTTAACAGCCCTAACAAACACATCCTACAGTGGAATATGTTTGTGTTTTCTGAAGTACCATTCAGCCTGAACTGCTCCATGTTTCTAACTTGTTAGTACTCACCAGTTTTAATGCCTCCATGCTGCCCACGAGAACATGCTGCAAAATCACTCCCACTCTGTCAAATCTGAGGAGAATCATGGATAAAAGACATTAATCAGCAAAATATTAACTTTTTTTTTTTTAGGGTGTGACAGCACTCAGGTTTTGACGTCAACACCTCCTGTTAACATAGTCCCAAGAATCACGACTCTGATCAGAAGCCTGTGATAAGTCAACGTGTGAGAAGAAACAAAAGTGTAGGACCTGTGGTTCGGGGCTCACCAGCCTGTTCTGCTGTGACATCATCGTGGCTTTAAAACAGGAGCAGATGTGATGGTGACAAACAGCCGGCCTGTCGGTGTCTTTAAGCTCCTTCTCACATTCTGCAGCCGTTTGTTAGCAGTTAACAATCCTTTTCTCCGGCGTCTGGTTCCTCTCTGGTGGTGTTGACTCTCAGGTTAATGTCACAATCTACCTCCGTAGGTGAGACTAACTGTGAAAGAAGAGGCGCCAGTCACCACAGCTTCAGAGCTTTATTTTTACTTACAAAAATACACCCACGCCCTCTTTGATTGTACAACCTTCTTATTGCCCTGTCTTTCTTTTCAATAAACATTTTGTAGAATTTGTCTTCTGGCTCTGGATTTTTTTTTTCTGGCTTAAAATGTTTGCATCCATCACAAACTCGGATTTGAAATGTTACAAAAACTTTTATTGTAAAACGTTGAGCAAGATGAAAATAACAGGCACCAAATCTTTTTGGCAAATGTAACTCAGATGAGCCTTTTGTAAAAAAACAAAAAAGCTAAAATCAATTTTTTTTTATTGCTCAACATCTAAACAAAATAAAAGCTAAAATCTTTTTTTTTTTTATTGCTCAACATCTAAACACATACAACAGAAACACGTCATCTTGAACCCAGGTCTCATAGACTCGGCAGCAACTCAACGTTTTCACTGGCTAAATCGGCAGCATGCATCATAAACCATAAAATGCGTTGAAATCATGACGAAATGAATGGTGTAAAGTGACCAATCGGCTGTTTGTCTCTAAACTGCTGTCAGAATTAGTATTAAGTAGTCCGTGCTGGGGCCAGAACCTGAAAACCTGCCCTCAGTGACCAGAGAACTCCTGGTTCCAACAGTGTCAATACAGGATACCATGTGTGTAAGTACCAGGTGCAGCAGAGCCTCAGTTTGACCAGGAGGGGAAAAAAGAAAAGACAGGAATGTTTCTTTATGCAAAGCTCTAGATACAACCATTATGGCCAAGCGTTCTCATGGCAGGTGGGGGCGGGGTGGGAGTTGGCATCAATGTAAAATGTATGTAAACCTAGTTTTCTTCCAACATTTATGTCTTCACAGAAGCCTTTGTGACTGGTTTATTGAGAGTCCAAATGGAAAGAAATGACACTTGTTCTGTTGGGCATGACCAGTGTGAGTGACCCCCATCCCCCCCTTCCCTCCCCTCCCAGACATTGGAGCTCAGATTATAATCTAATCCAAGTGCTTCAGGAACCTGGGCCACACATGATCAGTGTGGAGGGAATGAGTTTGACGTTTTAGTATTTGAGTGAAGTGGAACAGAGAAGCTGCAAACTGTGACTTGAGTTTGGGATCGGGAATTTCAGGGAGTAGATTTGGGGGCAGGGGGGAGGGAGGGGGAGCCTTGACAGATTTGTGCAGAGCTGCTTAGGATCCCTGAGCTTCCAGCTCTGATGCAGGGGTGTTGTCTGGCTCCTCGTCGTTGTAGATGTTTTCCGCCTGGAAGGAGGAAGAAAGAAGGAGAGGACGTAGGAAGTATGCTGACTGCTGATTGGAGGATTCACTCCAGACTTTATCCAGGAAAAAATTAACACACACATACACTTCAAACACTTTTAACTTTCTAAAGATTGTGCTGATGAAGAAGATTTTATCCTTAAAAAAATATTCACCATCTGCCAGACTTGCATGATGTTGTCTTCTGACACCGAGCAGATGACCCAGGGTTCGTTGGGGTTCCAGGAGAAGTCTGAGATCTTAGCGGTGTGACCGCCGTGGATGAACTGAAGGAAGGATGAGGACAGGAGTGAGTGGGGAACGACTGTTGGTTGCAATCACAGGCTCAACGGTGGGTGTCGCTGTTTTGTTAACATCTCAACAGAAACAATTAACCAGCATCACATAAATCATTTGTCAGATCTGAGATCACAATGATGGAGAAGAGAGTGAAGAAAAACCCCAACACTTTAGTTTGAACCCTGTCACTTACCAGCAGCTCTGGTGGACCGTCCTCAGCATCTTCAGCCGACTGTTCCTCTCCAATTTTGCTAGAGGAGGCAGAAAGAGTCGACTCACACCGTTACTCTTTACTGTGTGTAAACTCTAGACTGTAATTATTCTATTTTAACATCAGCCGTAAATTCATATTTACTGCATCAATTTGTTAAATGAGTCCTTTTCTATAAACAGTGGATTCATTTTCTGCTACTTTGGCTCACGTCCTGTTTTTTTTTGTATATACTTCCTGATTTACCTGAGATCCCAGACGTTGAGGCGTCGGTCAGTTCCACTGGAGGCCAGAATGGTCTCATTATGAGGAGACCATTGTACCTGAGGAACCAGACAGACATGAGCATCAGGAGTTAATGACGCGCTGGCAGACATTAGCAGAAAGTACTTATAATACAGTATATTTGTGTTTTATTTTAAATTGTTTTTAGCATGGCTTCTGAGACGGACGTTTTCAGCCAATTTTTTTTTTTTGCTCTCTCTCGTGGAAAAAACTGTTTTCGTTAGAGTCGACCATTATAGCGGATGTTGTGATTAAAACAGTAGCTTTAAATCACCATGCATCATGTGACCTTTGGCGTACACAGTCTTATTTACACAGAAAGAAACGTCACCTGGAAGATTTCATCTTTGTGGGACTCAAACGAGTGGAGCTTGAGCTTCAGGTTCCGCAAATCCCACAATGCAACTGTCTGAAATCGGCCAAGCAGATTCACATTATATAAATATACACGTGTGAATACGTTAGTCGACTGAATGACACGTCAGAGACGAGAACACAGCACCTTGTCAGCTGATCCGGTGGCCAGGATGAACTCACTGTAAGGGTTGAAGCTCAGACAGTTGACCTCCGCCGTGTGAGCGTCTACTGCGTGACTGGGTTTGGACGTGTTGTTGGAGCGAGTGTCCCAACTGTCGGAAGGGATAACGAGCAGATTTACAAACACTCAAGTCTGTCTGAGTCAGCCAATCACACGAGAGAAACACAGAACCCCACACTGTCACGAATCAGCTCCTTTTCATCTCTTACATCATGAGCTTCTGTGAATCTGCTGCTTTTCATCTCTTACATCATGAGCTTCTGGTCGTCGGCCACTGAACCAAACAGAGACTCGTGGAGCAAATGCCAGGACACGTCTTCCACCACTGCCGTGTGTCCAGTGAAAATGGTCTTGGCGTCCAAAATCTTTCCTTCCTTTGGGCTTCCTCCAATGTCCCACAGACAGATGGTCTGGGAAAACAGAAGACGGCAGAGGACAGCATTAGTAAAGGCTGGCTTTGATACATTACATTAACAGAACATTTGGACTCTTCATTATGACACACAGACTGATCCAGACTATAACGTCCTGTTGGGTTTTCGGTGCTGGTCACTCACGTGGTCGTCGGAGGCACTGAGGAGGTTCCCACTGAGGTTGGGGTTCCAGGAAAGTCCATATCCTTCTTTCTGGTGACCTTTGAGCCTCAGGTCAGGGCTACACTCCCCACTGAGATCTAACACATATCATTGAAGGGATCAACGTGAGATTCATCGGAGTTGTGCTTTTTCTGAGGCATGAATTTCAACAGTGCTCGAACCTGGCTTAGACGGGTGTTTGGTGTAGTCGAAGACCAACACGTCAGACGTGGGAGTCTTGGTGGCGATGATGCAGGGATTCTGGGGCATGTAGCGAGCTCTGTTCACCTCACCTTCGTGGTTGATCTTGATCTCAATCTCTATTTTACCACTGACTGAACCAAAGCCACCGAACTCTGCCAAAGAAAACACAGTAATGAACCATTAAACTGTGGTCTGGGCTGAGGAGGAGTGTATGTGATTATGATGGTTGTTGTTATCATCATGCTTAATCTCAAATGTGTTATCGTTTTGTTTATTAATTTTTTTTCTTTGCAGTTTTAAAATTAGACTTAAAAAATTTAAATATCAGGACATTATAAATCATCTTATG